CCACTACTACACACACACACACACACACACACACACACACACACACACACACACACACAATTTTACTTGGCTGTAAGATGTTTCCTCCCCTTCCCTTAGGTGTTTAACTACTGGTTGGATGACATGTACCTCAACAACCGGTTGGCTCTTCCAGTCAATTCCAGCCCTGCAATTATCTTTGCCCGTCAACATTTCAAGGATGTGAATGACCAGCTGAGGTAATGTATTAAAGACCACAGCTTTTGCCTCTGAAAAAAACCCTTTAAATATGCTACTCTGGCAAACAAATAACTAGCTTGTTTAAACAAATGAGGGTGCCAGTCATTAAACCGTTCCCTATCGTACATACTGGCTATAGGCAGCTTCTAATTTCACTCACGCAGAAACCTTAAGTTAAGAATTATACTTTAAATAAAAAATTTTGCCATCACATTTATCATTTTAGACAAAATATACTGGTGGAACTTTTAAAATTAGGGATATCTGTGAAGCATCTTAAACTTCTCATCAGATACTTCCCCAAATCAGAGCTCTTTGCTGGGAAAAGAAATCCTGACTCCATGCACGCTGTTTAGAATGGAACAGTCTCCAATATGCTACAGTTACAACTCAGCAAGCTGTAGCAGAGCCCTACACGTCAGCCACCCTAATTTGAGGTCTTTGTGCCATGCAGGAAAAACATTTGTGCTCAGTTTAGCATCTCCTGGGAACTGATGAGTATAAGCCCCAAAGTTAGTATACTGCCCAATCTCCCACCCTGTACCCCAAGGCTGCACAAGTGCTGGAAAGTGGGCACTAACTTTGCTAGTGTCAAAACAACCTGAAAGTGCAATGGAAACAACTGGGTTACCAAGAACTAGTATAGAAAAATCAACACCCTCCGACAATACAATAAAATTCATTCTAAAACAACAGTCAGTGCTTTGTTGTCATTGATCAGGATAACAGATTAATGGAGAAGACTGCCGCAGAGCCCAAAGAAAAGAACTTGGAGATACAATATTAAAACATGAGCTAGAAGAAAAACATTTCTGGGACTCATGAAGAATTAAGCTATGTACAACCAGGAGAACAGATAAGAAAACAGGGTTGGGGGGGAGAAGGGTCCCTTTAACAGACAGTGTTTTCAAAAATTACTTTATATCAAAAAGTAATTGCATTACTCCTGATTATACCTGCTGCTGCACATATAATCAATGAATTCTGGAGCCCTGTTGCTAAAATCACCAGCATCCAAAGAACATTTTTGGTGTTGACCATTTCCCTATATGGATATAAGGGTGGCTAAATTTATTTTAAAAAGTGAAAACATAAAGAATAAACAAAGTTTATACAAGCCAAGTACACAATATACATCTCCAGATGCTATTAAAAAAGTAAGCTTCCAGTTCTCAACCTTTGCCAAATCATTTCCCCCTTTTTAAACAGCAATACAAAGCAAATCTACTTTCAAATATTGCAGATTTCCTCTTTGCTTTTAGCACTTTCCAGCTGCACGTTGTTGAAAGAGTAAATTGCATATGAATTTATGCTATTATAATTTAAAAAAAACGGCCAGAACCTTGAAGCTGATCTGTATTATATTAAAATTTTGCATAGACAGAGCACCATGTCTTTTTTTAAACCTACTCTAAACATTAGAATAAATGTGCTTCCTCTTGTTACTGAATAGATTCACTGTGCACATTCTGTTCTATGAAACTACGTTTTGCATTTCTCTAATGCATATGACCTGTAACAAACAAATACTTTTAACATAGAGAATCCCATTCAGAAACATAGCAAATGGGCGGTCTGAGGAAATAATGTTCCTGCCCCACAGCCATGGAGCAAGAGTATATATTTCAGGACAGCAAGTACTTCAGTACACCAGGTAGTACTTAAGCATTTATATTGCTGAGACTCCTATCAAGGATGCAACCCCCATCCCGTTCTGTAAACAACTACTTCCAAGTATCCAGTCTAATTTTGTTTAATTGTTAAATAAGGATAATCACTACATGATTGTAAACTCTGTGGGGCAGGGACTATCATTTTGTTCTGTGTTTGTATAGCACTTAGTACAATGGGGTCCTGGTTCATGACTAGGCACTATGCTCATAAAAATACATAACACTAATTATATACACTAGTCAACTAATTTTTCCTCTGCATGTGTTTGTTAAAATTAATCATAGTTTTTTTCCCCGGTTCTTGCCAAGAGACAGACTCTGTCATGCTGTAGAGCAGAGGTTCTCAAACTGTGGTCCGTGGATCACCAGTGGTCTGCAAGCTCCATTCAGGTGGTCCGCGGATAGTTCTCTCTAAAAGTGCGCGCCTGGATGGCTGCACACGAGAGAATGAAGGGTCACCCACCTAATTAATGTAGCCAGGCAGGTGTGGTTCCACTAATTAGGTGCCTGGACCCTGGAGAAGACACACATGTAAGGTGAGGTGGTGGCCTTGGGGGGAATAGAGGGTAGGTGGGAGGGGGCAGTTGGGTGAGAAGAGGGGGTGGGGGGAATTTGGGACATGCAGGGCTGCAGCGGCTAGAGAAAGAGGCAACTTTCCCCAGCTCCAGGGCTGTGGCTGCCGGGGAGAGATGCCCCTCCTTCCCAGCCCCACCTCGGGGGCTGCTGTGGTGGGGGAGAGAGGGAGAGACCCCCCTCCTTCCCAGCCCCAGATCGGGGGCTGCCATGGTGGGGGAGAGAGTGCACATCCATCACATTAGAAAGGTAAGACTACTGATATTAAAATATGAGTTGTGTGCTTTTATCCAAAGCGCATTACAATAGTTAGCTAACGGTACAAACAACATTTGGAAAGATCATTAAGTGGTCCGAGACCCTCAGCAATTTTCAAGTGATCTGCAGAAAAAAAAGTTTGAGAACCACTATTGTAGAGCATAATTGATCTTTATAGGCCTTCTTGGGCTCAGACTGAACTCCCAGAGTGCATGGCAAAAGAGTGAGGTTATTTCTATGTTTTACTTACAGGTTTGCTGCTAATCTCATTTCAGGAGTGCTGGATTATAAAGCTTTACTGGATGGGTACGTATTTTGGAAATAGAATCACTGACTGACTAAAAATATAAAGAGGTCTGATTAGGAATGCTTGGAGGTGTCCAAAGTCACGCTACATTAGGCCATAATTCATTAGACCACTCTAATGTTAGGAACTGAAATGGTCCAGGAATGGTAGCTTTGGCAACACCATGGTAGCTTTACATGCTTCTCCTTTATTACTACAATATGAGGTGCCAGATGAGGATTCTTCATAAGTCATGTCAGTCATCTGTCAGATACACAGTTCAATCTACAATACAACATAAAAATCTGACTAATGTGACTGTTTCAGACCTACCTAAGGAGTCCATCCTCTCCAACTGCAGATCAATGTGTGGCAGTGTCATAGCAAAAATAAGGAAGAGTCCTTGTGGCACATTAGAGACTAACAAATTTATTTGAGCATAAGCTTTTGTGGGCTATAACCCACTTCATCGGATGCACGGAGTGAAAAATACAGTAGGTAGGTATAAATATACAGCACATGAAAAGATGGGAGTTGCCTTACCAAGTGGGGGGTCCGTGCTAACAAGGCCTATTCAGTCATGGTGGATGTGGCCCATTCCCAACAGTTGACAAGAAGGGGTGAATATCAGAGGGAAAATTACTTTTTGTAGTGACCCAGCCACTCCCAGTCTTTATTCAGGCCTAATTTGATGGTGTCAAGTTTGCAAATTAATTCCAGTTCTGCAGTTTCTCAATGAAGTCTGTTTTTGAAGGCTTTTTGTTAAAGAATGGCCACTTTTAAGTCTGTTGTTGAGTGTCCAGGGAGACTGAAGTGCTCTCCTACTGGTTTTTGAATGTTACAATTCTTGATGTCTGATTTGTGTCCAGAGACGGTCCGGTTTGGCCAATGTAAATGGCAGAGGGGCATTGCTGGTACATGATGGCATATATCACATTGGTAGATGTGCAGGTGAATGAGCCCCTGATGGTATGGCTGATGTGGTTAGGTCCTATGATGGTGTCCCTTGAATAGATATCTGGACAGAGTTGGCAATGGGGTTTGTTGCAGGGATTGGTTCCTGGGTTAGTGTTTCTGTTGTGTAGTGTGTCATAGCAAAGTTTGCCAACACCCCTGTGTATTACTTGAGAACCACCAGTTTGGTAAACTCCCTCACAAGTATCTGTATAATTTTCCATATTTCTGATATTTGCCTCTCCACCATGGTTAATTTGTTAATAGACATCCCCTACCCCATCCCAAAACAATAAACCCCACAAGAGGAAGCCTAATCACACCCAGGTTCTACTGCTGGTATTTAACCAAAAAAGTTGTAATCCGTTTTTCCTGTTGTACATGGAAAATGTAAATGTAGGAAAATATCTCCAGCAGTCCTTGAGAACTGTACTATTAATAACAGTATTTTACATATATAGCACCATTCATCCAAAAGAATTTCACAAACTACATTCCAGCAGTACCACTGAAATGCATCCACCCAAAGAGTGGAATGTGGCAGACAACCAATGCACAGTACACTGCACCATAGTGGAGGAACGGAACATTTTCAATCATGGGATAATGAGAGCCCCCTTGTCACGCATCCTGACCAGCATTCATTTGGGCCAGGAAAAGGCGAAGTTGATATTTAGCCATCTGAGGTCTAACCTAGGGTGACCAGATAAAAAGTGTGAAAAATCGGGACAGGAAGTGGGGAAGGGGCAATAGGTGCCTATATAAGAAAAAGCCCGAAATATTGGGACTGTCCCTGTAAAATCGTGACATCTGGTCACCCTAGTCTCACCACCTGTGAATTGACTATAAGCAAAGAAATTGGAAGGAGTTGTTGGATTTTTTTACTTCAAAGTCTGAAACTATTCAAAAACTTATCACACTTGGTTGCTCAGGAACATGTGCTTTTGTCTAAGATAAACTATAGAACTGTATGCCATATCTGCAGATCTAAAAATACAGATGTTGACATGTTATAAACTACTTTGTCACTACATCTTTACATGACAGCATGGTATGCATCTGTGAAGAGCTAGGAATACATATTGCTTAGCAAAGTTGTAACATTTTATCTTTAATATTTTGACCTGGGTTCCTTGATCTAAAGAAGACTCGTCACAGTATTCCTAGCCTCACTTTAATAATTATTTACTCCCTTTTCTATAAATTCTACTGTTGTTGCTCACCTTTGGGTACCAACACTAATATTTCCTCATTATAACTATTAATATTCCAGTATCCATTGTTGCCCTGTTACAGCCGTAGGATAGTCAATGTAATCCTAGCATCTTTTGAATCACTACATAGGCAAACACAATAGGCACAAAACTAGTATGCAAAAGCAGTTCATAACTTTCCAAGGTACAGTAAAGCTTTGCTACCCGGCATGTTGGGGGAATGGTGGTGCTGGTTAGTCAAAAATTCCGGTTACCTAAGAGTTATACTTACCAATGGAATACCAATTTTCAAAGACATAGAATACAATAAAATGAATAAAATATAAAATAGTATAAAGGTGCTGTACTCACCAATCCAGTAGTAGTAGTGCACTGCAGAGTGGTTGGTTTTTTGAAGCACTTAGGTGTATACAGGTAAAGTTTTCTATACAGTAGGTTATCTTATGACACAACATATCACTATAAAACTATACTGAACATAATTTAATCTTTGATGATTCAGAAGGCACTTCAGGATCTTGCAGTGCCTTGGCATCATCATTATCAACATCAATTATCATTGTAGATGTAGAAGGTGTAGGAGATTGGGCTGAATCTGTAATGACCCTATGACATACCCTGGACGCTGGTGTTTTGAGTAAATTCCTGGTATCAGTTTGCTTACTTGTCTTCTGCCTCTTTTGCATAAAAGTAGAGTGCAGAATGTGCAGTTGCATAACCTCATAGACTCATAGGCTAGGTCTACACTACCCGCCTGAATCGGCGGGTAGAAATCGACCTCTCGGGGATCGATTTATCGTGTCCCGTTGGGACGCGACAATCGATCCCCGAATCGACGCTCTTACTCCACCAGCGGAGGTGGGAGTAAGCGCCGTCGACAGGAAGCCGCAGAGGTCGATTTTGCCGCCGTCCTCACAGCGAGGTAAGTCGGCTGCGATACGTCGAATTCAGCTATGCTATTCACGTAGCTGAATTTGCGTATCTTAAATCGACTCCCCCCTGTAGTGTAGATGTAGCCATAGACTTTAAGGTCAGAAGGGACCATTATGATCATCTAGTCTGACCTCCCGCATGATGCAGGCCACAAAGCCGTCCCAACTCCTGGGCAGTATACTAGTCCCGGTTATTAGATTGAAGATTTGTATTGGGAAATATCAGAAATGCCGGTTAATAGAGCTTTCTGGTTGATAAAGTGCCAGATAACACAGCTTTTACTTGTATGTAGTTTTAGCTATGTAGATAGCCCAGTTGCCTAGTTAAAGTATTTCAAACAAAGCCTAACTTAGACAGAAATATATAACACAAGAATATAACTTAACATATTAAATCAGTGCAAGTTTTGTTGTCAGAACAATATAGTATAATGTCCCCTTTCTAAAATCATTATAATCACGGGCTTTCTTATCATCATTGTTATTATTTACTATTCTTGTAAAAATAGGCACAAAACGAGAGTGGGAATCCATTGGGCTTTGTACTACATCAGAACATAAGAGACTGTCTCTGGCCCAAAGAGCTGACAATCTAAATAGACAAGACAAAGATGGAGGGTGGAAAGAAAGGAAGTATTATTATCCCCATTTTACAGATGAGGACCTGAGGCACAGGGAGATTAAGTGACTTTTCCAAGGAAGTAAGTCATACAGGAAGTCTATGGCAGACCTGGGAATTAGAGAACTTTCTCTTGGTCTAGTATCTTAACCACAAGACCAGCAATTTCCCTTTGCCCCCCGCCTACAATGACAACTACATTAGTTTCTACTGCATTGACAGTAGAATGTCCTACAATTCATAATCAGAAAAGAAAACATTCCACAGCAAAGTAACCAGATTTTGTTCTGGTCACTAAAGAGGCATTTTAGTGTGTATTGTTGCCAGACTCCTAGCAATTAAAAAGGATCCAGCTGCAAAATTTCAGCATTTACTTCCCCCATTTGTCACTCTAAGTGCCAAAATTGTTTGGTAGGATTAAATTAACTCCTCACTGTCCAGATGATTCCCCTCTATCCTGCCCATTCTACTGATTTCCAGAGATGGAGATGTTTCCCTTAAACATTCTAAGCAACTCTAGCCTGGACTTCCAGTACAAAGCACATATGGCCTTCTAGGGTGCATGTCAGCTTCAGATGTTCAACTGATTTTCATTTATCCTACAGAATTTTGAGGGTCCCTTCTAAGCAGGCTCCCTACTCCTACCTCAGGACTCTTGGTGGAAAGCAGGCTCTTTTTTTTTTTGGTATGGGCAGGGGATACATATGTGAAAGATTTTATACTCGATGATGAAAAGTGCAAGTGTACCGTATATTCACAGATGAGGAATATATGTTGCAGTCACTGATTTGCATGCCCTGCTATTGTTTGAGTCTCTAACACATATTCATTGAATGCAAATACAATTCCTTAATGAATATGCATGAATCTGCCAGGAATGATGTATTTAACTTTGGTATGGGAATTCATCTATTTCCTTACACTGTAATCTTGTTTTTATTATTCCATTTGTATTGCACCTAATCTAATTGTAACAGAACAAAGGACAGATTAGATTTCTTTTTCTTTCTGTCTCTCTCTCTCTCTCTCTCTCTCTTTCTACTTTTCTCTGGCTTTGTTTCTCTCCTCTCTCTCCAGCAATGCTATACCTGTTGATTTTGCTCGTGGACAGCTGTCTGGTCATCCTCTCTGTATGAAGCAATACTATGGACTCTTTTCTTCCTATCGTCTTCCAGGCCATACCAAAGATACTCTTGTGGCCCAGAAAAGCAGCATAATGCCAGAACCAGAGCACATCATTGTTGCTTGTAACAATCAGGTAAGTAGGCATTTTGTTTTTAAACCTTTTCCTCTTTCCTTCAGAAATAGGGTATGCATAAATTTGCTTGATAACAATGTAATACGATCATTGCTCCAGGATCTCACTGAATGTACAATAGATGATGGCACTGGACTCAGTCCTGAAGCCCATACTCAGTTCTTATCAGTGATGTGCTGCCAACATTTTAACAAGAAGCTCCCATAGTTTTTTTTCCCCTTCCTAGCCCAGCTTACATTCTGAGTACACTGCTACAGCGAGGAGAGATGTGGGACTGGGGAAAATACTAATTCAGTTTCCATTCAGATAAAAACACTTATTAAACAGGGAAGCAACACCACAGGCAAAAAAAATTATACGAAGTACATTTGCTGAAGTGTTTATATTTACACCTGAAAACTCTATTGGATATATTGGCATACCACATAGTGTTCAGCCTGTATAATTTAGAGTGAGGGTGGGAGGAGAAGAGACCTTGTACAGTACCCCTTCCATACAGCATTTGTTTGCAAGTCCCTGACATTTAGTACAATATGGTGCATTCCAAAGGCAAAGATTTTGCTTTTTTTTAATGTATTGTAAGGAGCAGAGCTGGTCATAAAACAGCATTTCTCTTCCACAGAAAATTCTGACATTTTGACATGTTTTCTTTCTAAATCGAGATGAAAAGCTGAAGTTTCAGAATCATTGGCAATGTCATGAGAAATCCTGTACTCATGAAATTTTCTGGATGGATTAAGGCATCCTTGGAATCCCTGCCTGCCAGCCTGTGTGGGCTTAACAGAACAACAAGCCAATCAAGAGTAATAATCGGAGGGCAGAAGATTAAGGAACCTATGGGTAGTGAGAAGAGTGAGGAATGACATGTTATGGGGAAGGAACTGGCAGTGAAAGTCTATTTGTGGGGGCAGAAGAAGGATGATACGAGTCAGGAATCAGAGGGAAAGAATCTGGGTAATCTTTTTTGTGGTGTGGGGTTTTTGTTGTTGTTGGGGGGGTTTTTTGTTTTTTTTTTGGCAGAAGGAGAAGTTCTGGTAGATCTAGGTCCCAGATGGTCTTAATCTGACCCTGTCAGTTCCTCTATCAACATGGTTTGGATTAATCTGGAAAAGCATCCAGACACCTGGCTGTTTATCCATCCACAACAGATCACTGAATCTTCTACAGTTTACTTATTGCTAATGGTCAGCTTTTGAATGCTGGCAAAACTTTAGAGAGCAAGCAGCGTAACTTAGCACATAATAAATGGGTTATAAAAAGCTCTGTGGGTTCCCCACGTAACAGTATTGTATATCCCTATGCTATTTTTAAAAGAGCTGGGACTATGGAAATTATTAACATGCTTCCTAGTTTTAATTGCTCAGGTGTTTTTAATCTTATTCAAACAATGTAAGCCAGACTGTGAAGAACTTCAAAAAGATCTCACAAAACTAAGTGATTGGGCAACAAAATGGCAAATGAAATTTAATGTGGATAAATGTAAAGTAATGCACATTGGAAAAAATAACCCCAACTATACATACAATATGATGGGGGCTAATTAGGCTACAACTAATCAGGAAAGAGATCTTGGAGTCATCGTGGATAGTTCTCTGAAAACGTCCAAACAGTGTGCAGCGGCAGTCAAAAAAGCAAACAGGATGTTAGGAATCATTAAAAAAGGGATAGAGAATAAGACAGAGAATATCTTATTGCCCTTATATAAATCCATGGTACACCCACATCTTGAATACTGCATACAGATGTGGTCTCCTCATTTCAAAAAAGATATACTGGCATTAGAAACGGTTCAGAGAAGGACAACTAAAATGATTAAGGGTTTGGAACAGGTCCCATATGAGGAGAGATTAAAGAGGCTAGGACTTTTCAGCTTGGAAAAGAGGAGACTAAGGGGGGGATATGATAGAGGTATATACAATCATGAGTCGTGTGGAGAGAGTAAATAAGGAAGTGTTATTTACTCCTTCTTATAACACAAGAACTAAGGGTCATCAAATGAAATTAATAGGCAGCAGGTTTAAAACGAATAAAAGGAAGTTCTTCTTCACACAGCACTTTAACCTATGGAACTCCTTGCCTGAGGAGGTTGTGAAGGCTAGAATTATAACAGGATTTAAAAGAGAACTGGATAAATTCATGGAGGTTAAGTCCATTAATGGCTATTAGCCAGGATGGGTAAGAAATGGTGTCCCTAGCCTCTGTTTGTCTGAGAGTGGAGATGGATGGCAGGAGAGAGATCCCTTGATCATTACCTGTTAGGTTCACTCCCTCTGGGACACCTGGCATTGGCCACTGTCGGTAGACAGGATACTGGGCTGGATGGACCTTTGGTTTGACCCAGTATGGCCATTCTTTGTTCTTATGTTCTTATTCTGCTCTCACTCCAGTGTAAATCAGGAGCCACTCAACTGAAGTCAGTGGAGTTACACTGGTATCAAACCCAAACATAGGTGAGAGCACAGTATCAGGCCCCAGCATGTTAGCAGACCACTTCCCTCAGCCATGTAATTCTCACTGTGCAGAGCTGCAGCACCTCCAGGCAATCCCACACTGAGCGAGATGTTTTCTTACAGAGTTTAGTATAATCTGCCTGTGATCCTTCTGACTTTTATCATTTCCCTGCAGTTCTTTGTTTTGGATGTTGTTATTAATTTCCGCCGTCTCAGCGAAGGGGATCTGTTCACTCAGTTAAGAAAGATAGTCAAAATGGCAGAGAACGAAGAAGAGAGGCTGCCTCCAATTGGTTTACTGACATCTGATGGAAGAACTGAGTGGGCAGAGGCCAGGACAATCCTCATGAAAGGTTAGCAGCGGCAACCCCAACCTTCTCGTCTTCATCCTCATCATCATCACTGGTCCTTGATGGGAGGTGATCCTTAAAGCAAATAGATGGCTAAAATATCAGACCTATTGTTGAATTCCTCTAGCATGAGGAAGTTCAATTCTTGTAAGCATTCAGATGTATCATCACACAGAGGAACAGAAAGTATGATTTTGAGCCAGCTGTGTAACTCCAGGGGCAATACCATGTAGCTAGATTTCATCCCACGCTTTGTCTTTCCTCTGATAAATTCTGAACATGCCATCAAAGTTTGTGATTTGTCTATTTCTTCATGGTCAAACTGTGATAATGAGTACAATGCATCCATAGGCTTTAGAAAGTGTTGGATAGTCTAGCACTTTATGTTTTGCACCATGTTCAAACTGAAGCAAGGTAAGAGAAATTTTCCTATTTATCTTTCTCTCTGAAAAATGCTAAATCATCCCTTTATCTCTGGCTCAGAGATATTAGGAAGAATAGTATTTGTGCTTTAGAAATGCACCAGAGTTTACCAAACAGGTTGTCATTTCAAAATATTTCCCCGGAGGAGGATAGCCATTTCCCTTGCAGATTACTGATAATGGCTTTTCACACAATCCACCCACCCTCAACCCTCATTACAACTAAACAAGAAAAATGGAATTTAAGCATTAACTTTTCTATAAGAATGCATAGTATAGAAATGATGAGTTTCTGGAGACCTTCTATCTATAAATTACAGTGTTAAGTATAGATTGGAAAATTCTCTATCTTTCTTAGAATCAACCTTATTGAAGAATTATTGGGCTCATTTCTTATAGTGTTTTCTTCTTATTCAACCTGATCGTCAACTGGTGTGATCAGTGTAACTCCATTGACTTCAAAGGAAGTTAAGCCAATTTTAATCAGCTAAGGGTCTGGCTCATTGTGTTTTCATCCACTCAACTTTGTAAGAGGGCTGACTCTGCAGCTCCCTGCAGCCTACCCTCTGTTACAGCAGTGGTATCTATTCTGTGGATAGAGAATATCTGTATCAAGGAAGTGCCAATCTGATACCATTGTCCTGCACTAAAATTACTTGTGCTTAGGAATGTCATCTTCTGCAAATTCTACTGGGTTGGCAATGTGCCAGCTTGTTGGAATGCCCAAAGAGCTAATGTTCTTGGCTCTGATTCGATACTTGGATATTCTGATTTTCCTTTCAAGTCGGCTCAATACTTTTGGCTAAGTATTCAGTTGCTTTCATTGTTGAGTCTTGTGTTTGCAACACCCTTTCACTCTCTGAGCTCCATTCCTTCAAGTTCCTGAGCAGCAAGCAACATTTCTCTTGATGTGGTTTGTAAATAATCACTATGTAAACACAGGTTTCAGAGTGGTAGCCATGTTAGTCTGTATCAGCAAAAACAACAAGGAATTCTTGTGGCACCTTAGAGACTAACAAATTTATTTGGGCATAAGCTTTCATGGGCTAGAACCCACTTCATCAGATGCATGAAGTGAAAAATACAGGAGGAGGTATAAATACATGAAAGGATGGGGGTTGCTTTACCAAGTGTGAGGTCAGTCTAATGAGATAAATCAATTAACAGCAGGAAACAAGGGAGGAAAAATAACTTTTGAAGTGGTAAGAGAGTGGCCCATTACAGACAGTTGACAAGAAGGTGTGAGTAACAGTAGGGAGAAATTAGCATTGGAAAAATTAAGTTTAGGTTTTGTAATGACCCAACCACTCCCAGGCTTTATTCAGGCCTAATCTGATGGTATCCAGTTTGCAAATTAATTCCAGTTCTGCAGCTTCATGTTGGAGTCTGTTTTTGAAGTTTTTTTGTTGAAGAATTGCCACTTTTAGGTCTGTTATTGAGTGACCAGAGAGATTGAAGTGTTCTCCTACTGGTTTTTGAATATTATGATGCCTGATGTCAGATTTGTGTCCATTTATTCTTTTGCATAGAGACTGTCCGGTTTGGCCAATGTACATGGCAGAGGGGCATTGCTGGCACATGATGGCATATATCACATTGGTAGATGTGCAGGTGAATGAGCCCCAGATGGTGTGGCTGATGTGGTTAGGTCCTCTGATGGTATCTCCAGAATAGATATCTGGACAGATTTGGCACCGGGGTTTGTAGCAGGGTTCCTGGGCGGTGTTTTTGTTGTGTGTTGTGTAGTTGCTAGTGAGTATTTGCTTCAGGTTGGGGAGCTGTCTGTAGGCAAGGACTGGCCTGTCTCCCAAGGTCTGTGAGAGTGAGGGATTGTCCTTCAGGATAGGTTGTAGATCCTTGATGATGCACTGGAGAGGTTTTAGTTGAGGGCTGTAGGTGACGGCTAGTGGCGTTCTGTTACTTTCTTTGTTGGGCCTGTCTTGTAGTAGGTGACTTCTCGGTATCCTTCTGGCTCTGTCAATCTGTTTCTTCACTTCACCAGGTGGGTATTGCAGTTTTAAGAATGCTTGATAGAGATTCTGTAGGTGTTTGTCTCTGTCTGAGGGATCGGAGCAAATGCGGTTGTATCTTAGCGCTTGGCTGTAGACAATGGATCATGTGATGTGGTCTGGATGAAAGCTGGAGGAATGTAGGTAAGTATAGCGGTCAGTAGGTTTCCGGTATAGGGTCGTGTTTATGTGACCATCGCTTAATAGCACTGTAGTGTCTAGGAAATGGACCTCTTGTGTGGACTGGTCCAGGCTGAGGTTGATGGTAGGGTGGAAATCATTAAAATCTTGGTGGAATTCCCATCGGTCCAGATGATGAAGATGTCATCAATGTAGTGCAAGTAGAGTAGGGGCGTAAGGGGACGAGAGCTGAGGAAGTGTTGTTCTAAGTCAGCCATAAAAATGTTGGCATACTGAGGGGCAATGCGGGTACCCATAGCAGTCCCACTGACTTGAAGGTATAAATTGTCCCCAAACCTGAAATAGTTGTGGGTGAGGACAAAGTCACAAAGTTCAGCCACCATGTTTGCCATGATGGTATTGGGGATGCTATTCCTGATGGCTTGTAGTCCATCTTTGTGTGGAATTTTGGTGTAGAGGGCTTCTACATCCATAGTGGCCAGGATGGTATTTTCTGGAAGATCACCAAAGGATTGTAGTTTCCTCAGGAAGTCAGGGGTGTCTCGAAGATAGCTGGGAGTGCTGGTAGCGTAAGGCCTGAGGAGAGAGTCTACAGAGCTAGATAATCCTGCTCTCAAGGTGCCAATGCCAGTGTATTTCTGAGAGAATTCTCTGGGCTAGATACCAGGAAAGAGGTCCATTGAAATCAACAGAAAGATTCTCATTGGCTTCAGTGGGCTTTTGTTCAGGCTTTTATAAAAATATCACAACATTTGAGGGTACAAGTTTGCATACAACAAAATGGTGGCTATTTTTGTATGAATTTGTAGAAAGAGAACATTTTCTTTAAAACATTCCTACTTTTTTTCTGTTTTCCAAAGTTCCTTTAAATCCATTTTTCATTCTGCTTTGCAAATGGTCTGCTCCTTGAATTTCTACTTGCCATACATTTTGAGCCTGTGCTAGAAGGAAATACACATTTTACTTCTGCATGTATGCAAGGGATATAAGTGTACATATTTGATGCCCTCTTATTGCTCCCCTCTCATAGCAAATAGCTTATCCTTTGATCAGAGTATGCTTCTAATAAGAAAAAAAAAGTGTGTCTTGTGTTTACAAAGGATACCAGATTCACAGCACTGGAAACTGAAGTCAACAGATCAGAGACAGCATAAGATGCGTCAATAACTTTCTCAAATCCCCAAGCTATCAACCCATGCTACATTCATACCAGTAACTTTGACATGAAAAGTTTTCTATCCCAATACAATTATCTGAGTCTGTCGGTCTCATAGATCTCAATGTTCTAAAAACAAATAAAATATCAACATGGCCATGGCACTCTCATGCTGTTGGAGTTTGGCTAGACTTTCAGGAAACACCTTCATCCAGTATCAGAGGGGTAGCTGTGTTAGTCTGGATCTGTAAAAGCAGCAAAGAGTCCTGTGGCACCTTATAGACTAACAGACGTATTGGACCATGAGTTTTCGTGCATCCATGCATGCATCCGACAAAGTGGGTATTCACCCACGAAAGCTCAAGCTCCAATATGTCCATTAGTCTATAAGGTGCCACAGGACTCTTTGCTACTTTTACCTTCATCCAGGTGAGTCAAAGCAGATGTTGAGATATAATAGCATTAAAATATGCTTGCGGGGTTGACTTTGGACCCTTACAATTTTATTGCCACTAGTGGATGGAGATCCATAGCTGTACTGATGTTACGGGGAAAAAATAATTGAAGGGACATAAAGATTAATAGTTAGATATAAAAAAAATCATAGCTACTGAATTAGTGAATTTCAGCAAAAGAGGAAAGACAAACCAGTCAGCTGAGTTGCTTCAAACATTTGCAGAAAGAGCTAGTATAGCTTATCCTGATTTTGTTATTTTAAAAGTAATTATTCCCATTTTCTGGAAGATAACAGAAAACCGTATCGTCAATCCCAAACATTAACAAAAAAACATGTCAGACCTCAAAAAAAGTCATGAGATTGGCTTAAAAAGCATGAGGTTTTTAAAAAAAATCTTTGCCTTCTGGTTACTGAGCCTGTAGAGTACACTCATACCACTTTTCAGACTTTTCTCTGCAACCATGACGCCAGAAACTTTTTTTTAAAATGAAGCTGAGAGTTTTCAGCTAATCATCTGTTTCCAGGAACTGTTGCTTTAATAGTATAATAATACCTAACACTTAGATAGAGCTTTGCATCTCAAAGAATATGACAATCATTAATGTATTTATCCTCACAACACCCCTGTGAAGTAGGGAAGGGCTACTGATATGGTAAGTCATTGCTACAGATGGAGAACTGAGGCACAGAGAGGCTAAATGACTTGCTCAAAGCCACAGAGGAAGGCTGTGACGGAGCAGGGAATTGAAGCCAGGTCTCCCAAGTCCTAGCCTAGTACCCTAACCATATTGCAAAACTTGCAATAAAAACACAATAGTTGGCAACAAACTCATCTAGGCACAGGTGATGGTCTACAATGGGAGATGGGGCAGACTGAAAGTGTCAGCCAGTGGCAGTTCTTCAGTGCAGGGAGCAAGGGAGCGAAGCAGCAGGAATGGGTTTTCTACACTGGAAAGGGGTATTGTGAGAATAAACATATTAGAGATTGTGAGGCATTCAGATATGATGGGAATGGTAAATGGGTATTTAAGAGGGTGAGGGTACAAAGGAGCTATAGGGTGTCATACTTGGACACCAGTCACCATTGTTATACACACAGTCATTAATTGTGAGTTCATATTGCAAAGCTAAGATACAGAGGTCTAAATTCAGATCTGATGTAAGCAAGTGCAAATCTACTAAAGTCATTAGAGTTGCAGTCTCACCTACAGTGTCTAAATTAGGCCCATGACTCCCTTCCCTTCTTTTCCTATTAAAAAATAGTTCCTCTAGAAAGATTGATTTACCATATTAAATGCAATTCTGTATGTTAGATAAGGGGGTAAAAAGAACAAATTGTTCATGCAGTTTTTGTTCTCTGCTAGCCCCTTGTTTTCATTCCTTCTAGATTTTTTTCCCCATCCCAAGTCATGGTACATGAGTTCTTGTTCAGTTCATTTTCTGCTTACATGATAAACTTGTCAGTGTTTGACTGATTGGTTCTCTGGACATGTTCTGGTTCATTTGTAAGGGCATTTTCCCATTGCTTTGCTATTTCTAGCATGGGAGTCTCATTTTATTCACTTTAAAAACTGAGGTTATCGCAGCCCTGAATCCATATGTCAGAGTGAGGGTTGCTGGTGTGTAGGCAGCAGCTGTAATAAAATGTATAAACCTGTGAGGTAACATAAGCAAAACATTGAACAAATAGTAAGCAAACATGGACAACAGTTTTGTAATTCACTATGCAACCAGTTTTTGTTTCCATAATATTAGGAGCATTCTGTATACAAATAACAACATTAATCATTTATATAGCATTTTCCACCTTAAAGAATGCTAATGGATGTAACAATAATGCACACATAGCACCAGTGAAATATAGCCATCTCAGGACACCTCAAAATGGCACGCACTGGTGAAAGAAGAGCTGCACAGGTAAGGACACTGGGACAAGACCTACTCTTATAAAAAGTGCTGTGGTAGCTTTAAAGCCAATGCCCAGCAACAAAGCACTCTGTATTTATGGCGTACCATGCATGCTGCAAGGGAACCAATTAAATTTAACAGAAGCCACGGCTTGTAATCTAAGAAAGATAAATGAGTTCTTCAAGCTCATCTTATCTATTAATTTACAGGTCCCCACTAAGCCCCCACTTCGGACTAAGGTACGCAAATTCAGCTACGTTAATAACGTAGCTGAATTCGAAGTACCTTAGTCCAAACTTACCGCGGGTCCAGACGCGGCAGGAAGGCTCCCCCGTCGATGGAGCTGGAGTACTGGCGCTGACTGCGAGCACTTCCGGGATCGATCCGGGATCGATTTATCGCGTCTTAACCAGACGCGATAAATCGATCCCAGAACATCGATTGCCTGCTGCCGGACCCTCCGGTAAGTGAAAACAAGGCCTAAGTGTAGGACCACACAGGAATTCTATGAGTCAGACTATGAGCCCTTTACTTGTACTGGTGAACAATAGGTCTGCTCCTGTGGGTAAACTGAGGTCAGTGAGACTACTCCTGTAACTGTTCACTGCAACAAGCAAGGGGCTCACAACCTGGCCCTATTCATCACTTTAAACCAATGGATCCCAACTATTTCTTGCTGGAGCTGCCTCTTAGATTGAGCTAGTGGAGGAGTGCACCTCCTCACCCAAACTCCCAGAATAGTTCTTCGCTTTCATTTTCTCGCATGTCCTTTTCTGTTTGTTTTCTTTTCGGTCTCCCGTGTAGCCTTTTCTTTTCTGTGCATTTTCTTTCTCCTTTTCACTGCACGGTGACTGAAGAGATAGTGTAAATGACAACATCCCCCACATGAAGCAAGAGAGCAGAAGCTAAGCTGTGAAGAGGGATTTTAAGGCAGTGTATGAAACTGGTTTTTGTTTGACTTTGAGAACAACCATTTAATGTCAATCACTGACTAATATACCTTGGAATACAAGCACAGACTTTGTTAAAGATGCCACACTTTTATCTTTTCAATTAAGGGATTAAGAGCTAACAATAAACATTTCTGACACTTCCTACTGGCCTTCCCAGGGAAGACTAGACTTTACATTCCTAACGTTTTGGAGTTAAAACCCATACAGAAAATAAGCAAAGAAACCATTCATGCCTTTATTCATCACCAAGAAGAAAAAAGGAGCGCAAGCCCAGCTGTTAAAAAATCCTATGCACATCACCTTTGAGTGAGAGAGAGACAGACAGACATACAGAGACAGAGACAGAATCGGGGAGAGAAGCATGGACTGAAAACCAAAATAAGTGCATTTAGTTCAAAGTGTGTCAGAGACAGAAAGGGATGGAGGAGAAGCAGAGCATGGATTACACAATAAAATGTTCATGAAACAAACCTCACAACCATAACTTCATATTTTTCCATTTTCAAATTATAATAATACATAGCTCTTATCTGTCATTTTATCAGTAGATCTCAAAGTGGTTTGCAAAAGGGGATAAGTATCATTATCCCTATTTTATAGATGGGGAAACTGAGGCACAGGAAGTCCTGTGACTTGCCTAAGGTCCTCCAGCATGCCAGATTTGGGACCAGAACCCAAGTCTCCCATTTGCCAGTCCAGTGCTCTGTCCTCTAGATAGTGATTTGAAACCAGCTGAGCACTCAACTGTAGAATTATCTTCTTTATTGACATGAAGCTGGCAAAGTTGGAGACTCTTTTTGTTTTGTTTTTTTACAAGAAACTTGAGTTTACTGACTAGGCAGATTCTCTTCAATGCTCCCAAGTTGAGAATTTTCAGACTAAATGAGAGAACAAATAAATGTTTCTTTGTTCCAAAAGGATTTTTACTGTGAAAACTACTTAAAGAAAGGGGGTGACGCTGAAGAGATCCAGTTATTTCATCATGGAATGTTTGTCAAGACACATCTCAGGGGTCACATCTGCTTTGATAAAATCTAGTTGCACATGTCCCGCCTGGAACTTTTGTCAAGCAAAAGCCCAGTTTTATTACACATGAGACTTGGAGTGAAGAAGCCCAAAATGGAAATTCTCACCATATAGAACTAAATATTTCTTATGAAAAGCAATGTGATAGGAATAAAGCTAACAGATGTCATTTTACTGCCCAAATATGATGTGATGAAAAAGTCCAAGGTGAAGTAAATTGGACCTGAGTTCCTACATGGTTACTTCAGGAAAACCAAAGGCCTGACTTTGCCCCATGAGTTATGGTAAGGTGGGTAATTTTTGGAGATTGATACTATTGAACTACTGTAAAAGAAAGACAGTTATATTGCAAAATTAACACAAAAGACTGAATTCTTTGGAGTAAGAATTGTCCTCCTACTCTATACATCTGATCCTTCAATGAGTTCTGATGGCAACAGAGCTCTGCAGGACAGAGGAGCCCTTCTGCCTGGAGCTCATTGCAGGATTATGGTCTATAGTTGCACACCACCTCCTTCTATGGAGCCCTCTAGGTGCTATTGTAATGCAAATAATAAGATGCAGTTGTAAATGTGTCAATGTTTTATCCACAGACTCTACTAACCGAGACTCCCTGGATATGATTGAACGGTGTATATGCCTGGTGTGTCTGGATGGCCCAAGTGGGGTGGAACTCAACAATACAAATATGGCTTTGCAACTTCTACATGGGGGAGGCTATGATAAAAATGGTGCCAATCGCTGGTATGACAAACCCATGCAGGTAAAATCTTACTGTACTTGGACATGTAATTGCTCTGATACACACTAACAATGACATACTCAAGTCTCATGTGTCAGGGCTGATCATCACAGGGGTCCGGATGGATACCCATCTGCATTCCATAGTAGGCCACGTACATCACAGAGGGTTTTCATTTCCTTTGGAGTATCAAACATAGACCATGAGCAAAGGCAGGATAGTCAGATGGGGAATCAGCAGAGTGAAGGGGCGGGGGTCATAGCAGCATGTCAAGCAAGAGGCTGGGAAGCACTGGCACTGAGACCAGAATGGCTTCCTGCCCATGAGTGACGGCAGACAAGGGAAGCAAGACCTACTTGGGGAATAGGAAGTGTTGCAGTGTATAGTGTGTCCTTTTTAACACTTAATCACTTGCAGAATTCATAATGCTACTTTTACCCTTGCAGCTGAGAAGAGATCTATCTCATCTACATTCCAGAAGTGTCTTTACCCCAGACTAAAAGAAAGAAAAAGGTTAAATTAGGAAATCTAGAACAAGAAAAAGGATGAGAGCAGCTGATATTTCCTCTCCTTTTCAAGTCTTTCACTTTAACCTCAAGCTCTCCCAACTCTGGTCCTAGTGGACCTCTGGAGGTAGCAGGTTCCAGACATGTGCAAATAACACAGCAGAGAAATAACAATGTCATCCTGCTGTGTTGCTGCCATCAGCATATTTGCTTTTTCCTATCCAAAGCACAGTGCATTCAGTACATTATCCTATGCTTATTATTTATGCGATGGCATTTCCCTTGCTAGTTTGTTGTGGGAAGAGATGGAGTCTGTGGCACTGTGTGTGAACACTCCCCTTTCGATGGGATCGTCCTGGTACAGTGCACCGAACATTTGCTCAAGCACATGTGAGTCCTCTTTCATTATTAACTTAACAGGACAGCATCCAGGTGTTTTTTTACTCGAATGCATTAACTGGGCCTCTTAAGTGTTAAAAGAAATGAATGTACCTGAAAACAAAAAATGCGGTATCTGCTCTAAACATACTGGGATCCTCTTTCAGAGTGAAATTCACCCCTACGGCTTTAGCCCCACTTCACGCTTCCCACCCCCGCCCCCCCGGAACAACTTTCACACTCTTAATTATGGTTCTTTATAACTGGAATCGCAGTTTGCACATTAGAAAGCATTGAAACAGTTAAGGACTTTCATTTTCCTCCGCTTTTGTTTAACGGACTAAATCCTTGATATCAGTGGGAATTTCACCCTTGGCTTTGCCCCAACAAGTGGAAATGGACCCAAATAAAAATCATGTGTCTAAAGACAACTCAAACTGATCGGCTCTTTGGAGTTACTCTTGCTTTACACTGGTGTTAAGTGACATTAAAATTAGGCCCATTGCATTTGTGTGTTTTTCCCAGCAAAACAGAACATCTGTAATATCAGAGCTTACTCTGGTTTCTCCAGCATGTCAGGAACTAATGATTTACCAAGAAAACGGCTATCACACCATTCGTAAGAAATAGGTTGTTACCATGTCCTTATGTGTTTTCTCTGACATGTTTACAGGAAGGAAAGCTCTAAGAAATTAGTCAGAGCTGATTCAGTGAGTGAACTTCCTACTCCAAGGAGATTGAGATGGAAATGCTCTCCAGAAATTCAGGGACACTTAGCATCATCAGCAGAAAAACTTCAGAGGTACGGCAGATTCCTGGACTTTTCGGAACTGCTTCAAGTTGTGAGCCACCTAACAAACAACTAATTTATTATACAGCTCGATCCCACCCAGTGCTGAATATCCTCAACTCCCATGAAAACAAAAGGTGCTCAGTGCATCACAGGATCAGGCCTTTAAGGCTGTACGGTTAATACAATGCAGTAGGAACTGCACTATCATTACATTCCTTTCATGTAAATATAGGAGAAGCTAATGATAACTACAAATACCACTGGAAATAATTTTGATACAGCATTCATTATTTACATAAAATGCGAACAATGGCCTCTATTTGTACAGGTATATGGTTTGATCTGACCCAGACATAGCCATGCCTGTGGGGGAAATATATTTAGGGGAATTGTAAACAACTGGTTTGAATAGACAATTTGAATTCAAGCATTTAATTTGCTTGTACCTACACTGTTACTACAAAGGCCAGTTCTTTGGAGCTGGATTTTCTAGATCACAATGGATATGCACAGAATTTTTCACGGTGACTTTGAATGACAAAACTTTTTGGAGAGAGATTTAAGCTTATTGTTTAATTTTCATCAGAAAATTAACATAATGTACACATGACCAATTTTAAATCTTTGCCTATTGTGATCCCATTAGGTAAGGCAGCACTGGTAACAAAGTGTTTAAAATCTAAGATCTAATATGAGAGGCATTAGCTCAGGCCAGATACCAAAAAAAAAAAAATTGGTTTTGTTTCTAAATAAACGAAAGGTGACATTTCTTTGAAATGGGAGTTCATAATAAAATCAGGGCCTGCATTAGACTTTTAATCTATTCATTATTTAAATACAGGTGCTTCACTGACATGTAATCTAGAACAAAGAAGAGCATGTTTAACCTTCAGGAGCAGAATTGCTGGGAAAAAAAGTGTTTAACTCAAATGAGCACAACTACATGAGTGTCACAGCTCATAAGCAGTGCTGAAGATTAAAGTTGCATGTTGAATAGTGCATGATTAGAGACTGCTAGTTGAGAACAATTTACTGGTTGCCAAGTGCCAGACATTAGACTGAAAATGTCTACCCAATAGGTGCTAGTTGAGATATGTGGTGAACAGTACATGGGAAAAATGTTTTCTAAATATTGCTTGCAAACCACATTATATGGGAATCTTGCATTTTCCTCTACAACAAATGCCCCTGCTTGTTTTCTAGGATAGTAAACAATCTAGATTTTATTGTTTATACATTTGAAAACTATGGAAAAGAGTTTATCAAGAAACAAAAGACTAGCCCCGATGCCTACATTCAAGTAGCACTTCAGCTGGCATTTTACAGGTATGTTTATCAAATCATGGGATTAATATATTGTGAGCACAGATTTACAATTAATCAGTAAAACAAAGGGCTCAGTTCTGCACCCAGACAAACTTCCATTGACATAAAAGGGTAGACCTGCTGGATGGGGTCCTTAAAAAGCAGGATGGAAACCCATAATAGTAGTCACTTTGTTCTGACATATAGCACCCTCTCATATGGTACATGTTTGTTTTACAATTATAATGGAACTATTTAAATCAGCTAGAAAAGTAAGCAAAACATCCACAGTTACTGCAAAGTTACAGGGCCTATAGTTTAAAAAGCTGAAGGGAAGCAAATTCTCATTTGCAGATAAATCAGAGAATGGTTACAGCCTCTTGTCTGTCTATTATAATCCAAGTTGTAGCTCAGATTCAGCATATAAAATGTAATGAAAACAAACTAAGTCCTGGGCTTCTCTAATAATGGTGTGTAATTACAGGTCACAATCAAGTCACCCAAAAGCTTGAAATGAGTAAGCACATGACTGAGTAGACTCTTTAGCATAAAGGAAGTCCTGGGGAAAGAGTACAACCTGTCTAAATAGGCATAGGCAGGCTGCAGCTGTTAATACATAAACAAATTATACAGACCCTGCCAGGAATAGTAGACCCAGGTGCCACTCCCCTTCCTATATGGGTTTGGGCCCAGAGGTTCTGTGCAGTGCACACCAATATCACTTCTAATTTATTTTTCTGTGCAAGGAATCAATGACTGATTGAGCCATAGTTAAAACCCATGAGCACAATCTATTCCCCTCCCATCCCCTCGCCTCTCCATCTTATTTTACCACTCCTTCTCTCCTCATTCATCCCATACCCCACATTCATTATTGCCTTCTCTCCACCACTAACAGTCCCCCTTTCACTCTCTGTCTCTCTCACTCTCTGTTTCACTTTGTCTGCCCTCTCTCCCACCCCTTTCTCTCCCTGTCCCAAACAACCTTCCCTCCATTTTCACTGTGTCGGGGGGCAGCAGAGAGGATGGGCATAGAATGTGGCAGGAGCTGCCCACCCCTCCATAAGTGGCCAAGGGAAAGTGAAGCCCTAGACCTCTGTTGGAAAGCAACAAACAGTAAGCACCTATCTGTGCATGGCATCTGCCGGTAGGGGGTGCAGCTTGAAGCACACTGCACAACCTGCCATAATGCCCTCAGTTCCCCATCCACAGGGAACAACAGAGACCTTCTGAAGAGATCTCAGCAGCATATAGGGTTGGAGCTCCACTGCAAGGTAGTAGTTACTGTTTATTTCCCCCTGGACAGCTGTTGTTGGGCTTCCCCCAGGCAAAATGGGCATCCCAGGGTTTGACACTAAGAGCTGACCTTGGTTGCTCTTTTTACTCTACTAATCTCCGTGGCATTCCCATTGTCACAGGCTCTCTTATGGACTCTCAGGACACTTAATGTCCCAGGGTAGTGACCACTTGTGGGGTTTCTTACAGTAGACCCATTACACCAACAATCCCTAAACTTATCATATTAAATCCTGAAATGGTCTTTCACATGACCAGATGCCAAGCTTGTTTCACCCACTTTGTTAGCTGAAATCCAATAATGCCAACAAAGGACTGTCTATAGCCTGGTTATGAGAGCATGGTGGGTCCCAACTATAATACAAATTTCAACTCTGCTGCATAGATTGGGGGACAACTGAGCTATAAGACAGCCCCTGATTCAACTGTAGTATAGACAAGCCAAAGTAATTTGTAAGTTATTTTCAGTGGGGATACCAGTAAGTTCACTGGTTGCAAAAGCAGGGGACAAAGGACTGTAAACAGATGGTAACATGCTAATTTCCATGTAATCTGGGTTTTCACCTTTGGCTCTAAATCTGAAATGGCATTCATTTCCTCTTTTAATTTTCTGTGACATACACACACACACAGAAAACATGCAATGCATTTCTTTCTTGTTTTAAATAAAACATGTTCCAATCTTGTACGTAAATGATTAATCACACAATTATTTTATCATGTGGCACTAATAAAACACTCCTTGAGATCTTTCAGTAAATTCTAGTTTTATTAGCCTTGTTTTTACATACCAAGTAATTTTTTACTAGCACTCCATAAATAAAATATATTCAACTGTACACAGCTCTTTGTATTGAAAGGGCCATAGTATCCATCTTTTGGCAATTTCTTATATAATTCTATTAACATTAAAATGAAATATTACACAAAAATAAAATCAACCTTGTAAAAATAAAACGTACTGAGCCTATTTTTCTTTTTGCCATTATGATTCCCTGAAACAATTACTCTCTGCTTTTCCTATTTCATTCTCTCAGATGCCACAGGAGACTTGTTCCTACCTATGAAAGTGCTTCCATACGCCGATTTGAAGAGGGAAGAGTCGACAATATTAGGTCTGCAACCCCAGAAGTTTTAGCTTTTGTAAAAGCAATGATTGATGACAAGTCATCTCTACTGGTACGTTAATCTCTCTCTTTTGCTTTTATTTAAAACAGAACCAAAAAAATCACACTTCTCTTACCTATAGACAAAAATGTAGACCTCGTAGACTATAGTCAGGTAGAAACTCATTTCTGTGAGAACCAGACCTTCATGCTAAATATGAATATTCATTTTATTATTTGAGCACCCAAAAGCATGATACAGATAATTACACCATGAGAAACAGAATCTGTGTCTAAACTTACTTAACAGAATCTTTTGTAATTTACACCCGCAGAGCCAAATTCAGCTCTTTGGAGGATTTCACACTGAACTTGAAAGTTCAGGGTCATATACTGCACACTGGATTTTAGTTGGTTTGTTTGTTTCTATAGCCATGCTTCTGCCAAACATATATAGTGTTTATCTAATATGCCCAGTCAGGCTAAAACTTCTGAGATTAGATGTTCATGTCTTGGTCATGCTTAGGAAACAGCTTTCCATAATGCACTGATAGCCACTTTCTGGAACTGCACTCTTCAGCTGCCTCATGTGCAGATTCCTCCTGCACACACTCCATCCGCCTACCAGGAATATGAATAATTTGCACTGGCGGGTGGGTGTGTGGCGAGATGCAATTGCCAGGTCAGGGAGTGTACATGCACAAACAGGCTTACCCTAAGTTTTGTCCCAGGCTCTCCCCTTTGCAGTCTGCAGGAAAGCCTCTCTGTACATCTCTCTGCAGGTTTTGTAGGGGAGTCGTCCACCTCTGCTGTGCACAGATTTTCTGGTGGGTGCCTGTATGTGTCACTCTGCCAGAATTTGGACATGTTTGTACAGAGCCTCTTCTAGCATGTGATAATCAGGGTAGCTGCTTCCAAGTATCTATCAAAACTTGAACAGAAACATTGCAATGCAATGAGGCATGGTGATTTAAGAAATCTTAGTATAGTACAGACCTGTGTACAAAATTTCAGAGGCTGCATGAGAACTGTATAAGGAGGTGACAGTTTCCATTCCCCCACCACATCTTCCACCTCTGTAAGCTGTCCAGTTCAAAACCCATCTTGTGCTGAACAGAGCTCTCAGAAACTCCATGTTAAAAATCCACTGACAACATGAAGGCTGAGGTGGTTCCTGAACAGGACATAACTGTGTGATAACTCTAGGAAAATGATGACTTTTTAATGGTAATCACTATACTTTGGCCTGAGCTCTCCTCCAATCTGGCCAACCCATCCTACACAGGACTCACTGTCATGCTGAAAATGGCCTCTGCCTACCGGTAACCTCTCTGGTGATACAGTGCTACTGTCAACAATGCAGCTTGCCTGGGAAGAAGATGAAGTTTGTCCAGAGTGGGCAAGCCCTGAGGTACTTCCCCAGAACAGTCCTTTCTCTGCGCATCAGTCCCTGCCCTTGGAAAGCACACAGTGCCTGGGCGCCACACCAGTGCATGCTCTCACTCTTTCAGAACCTCTAGTAGAAGACAGATGCCCCAATCAGTTTCCACCCCCAAGTTCTCTTGCCCCTTTGAACCATTGCTGGTGGCTCTTATCCCTACCTTTGTCCACTCAGATTCAACTATCTGGCTTCTCCAGCACTTGCAAAGCTTCATCATCTCCCAGTACTTTACTGCCTCAGCTCTGAGACAGTGTACCCACCAGTGATATCCTAATGGTGTTGCATCATGTGAGTGAGCAAGGGAATGTCACATGTGACCACACAGTCCTCATTTCTCTAGAACCACCTCTGCCAGCCTGTGCCTCATTTTGTGTGCTCCAACCTTCCAAATCTTTATCTCACCCCTTGGCAATAATAAATATGGAGGATAATGATGTCATTATTCCATCTAAAGAATCTTGTAAACATCATGCAGTTCTGCCCAATGGAATTATGGTTTTCCTGGAGATTATAAAGTATGCATATTTTGTTAGAATATCCATTTGGAAAGGTGCAGGCATCTGAATTACTCTGTGGCTATTTCACGCATAATTTTTGGAACACAAACATTTGTTCAGATATGACCATTCCTTTCCAATCTAGACCCATATATACTATAGTTACAAAATGAATTAGAAACAGGATTCCCTTAGCTGACCTACACTCCACCAATGGAAGGAAAAAGGGGTGTGTTTTTTGGTTGGACTAAAAGACACGTCTTTTGATTTAAGTAGTCTTGAATTCTCTGAAGTATTTTTTGTTAGTAGCCATTAGTCCAAATCAAATCAGAAAATATTTTGCTTCTGATACCAAAGAAAGTGATTTTCAAATGACAGTTTGAACAGTCACCAAAGATTGAGTCTGAGTCAGATTGATTATCTAACACAGGAGATATATATCATACACTAGACACCATCTTCACAGGAAAGAACCTCTGACACTGCAGAGAATGCTTGACGAAACTGTAAATCAGATTTAAAGACTGCATTTTGTAATGTAATCTACATAAAGGACCCGGCGCCTGGCTCTAGTCTCATGAAGAGATATCAGATTCTGTGCTGTGAGGGTCTCTGATGATGCCCTTGGATTGCTTCTAAAATGAATTCTTTATTCAAAAGATCATTCATTGTCCATGCAAGCTGAAGCTTCCCTGTTCATTTAGAACTACACAAAAGAAGCCAGTAACTTTTGGCTGTTTCAAGATCTCCCTAATCTGAAACATCTCGCTTGATATGCAGTAGCAATTCTGCCTAAGATTGATCCCATGACCTAAAGTCTGTTATTTGGCAGGAGACAAAATTTACAGTTCTGTAACCAGAGATGTGAAGTAACTGTAACTGCAAAAGTTAAAGCAGTCCTGGAAAATTCTAGTTGCCCATTCACTCAGGGGAATGATTTTCTTGAGCAGCTGGTAAAATATCAATACTTTTTTTCATTAACATCACTGTCATTGTCATCATGATAAAGGACGCTCAACAGATTTAGTGCCTGGTCTGGTAAATTTCCATGATGGTTTTGTAAGGCTGGATTTAACTATGCAATTATTGTACCTTTTAAATTTTAATTACTCATACCTTCATCTGTTGCAAACTTTACTGACTGCTCACAGGGACCTACATTGACTGACCCTGTGTACAGTTACTGAGAATTTTCTTTACCAGTTCATCTCATCTCTACTGATCAGATTTTAGTTTCAGTAAACAGGTTCTGTTCACTAATACAATACATGTGATGGCACAGTTCATTCTGCTTTTAATTTATTAAGTGATACCTGCTGCCAATCAGATAAGAGTATGATTAAAAATATATTAGGCATTATGTTATCTATGGACCTGATACGAACTCTATTAAGTTAATTGAAAGTCTCTCCATGACTTCCATTGGCTTTAGATTAGGTCCTATGACCTATTTGACCCTAAAAAAATAAGGCAATACCAATGAGCATAACTTTGAACCATAGTGGCCTTCCATTCATTCAGAATGCCCACAACAAAGTAGGAATTTTGGAGTAACCGGGGGCATTTGGGTGTACTGACTATTGGTTGTTGGCTCATTGCCAGTAGAAGTTATTTCCTGCAGAGATTTTCAGTAATAGTTATGTTTCTATTCCACCAACAGGAATCTGAGAAGATGCAACGATTTAAAGATGCAATCGCGGCACAGACTAATTATACTATTTTGGTGAGTAAAATGTTGTTCTGCCTGGATGAAAACCAGTCAGTTTTATACCAAAAACATGAAGACATAATCACTAAGTACATGAACTTCAAAAACTTTAGATGCCTCTGAATATGGAGGACCACAGTGCCTCACACTATCTTGTTGACTACCTGACCTACCATCCAAACAGCCATATGGCTCCAACTTCTATGATCTCACTTCAAGAAACACTTTCCAGAAGCTGATATTGCAAAGTTAAATGTCTGCATAAGACAGTGCTCGTTAACTTACATAATAACCTTTGGCCATAACACTCTTGGACATAACCTGTCTAAATATGTTAGTTCTTATATAGTGTTGTCACAGAAGATGGCCTTGTGTAGATGACCTCTCCAGATGGACACTGGGCATTTGTGTGACACTTATTATTAACATTGTTATTAATTATTTGTATTGCAGTAGCATCTAGGAGTCCCAATCCTGGAACCTATTGTGCTAGGCAGCGTACGCACACAGAACAAAAAGACATTCCATGTCCCACAGAACTTACAATATAAGTATACAACAAGACGCAATAGGTAGATACGGACAGGCAGGCAGATGCAAGAGTACAATGAGACACCTACCTATATTTCCTTTATTCAGCACAGTATTTATTCTAGTGTCCAAAAACTCCATGAAAAGGTCTGTTTACTTTTAAAACTTTAGACCAAGGGAAACCAAGTGATAGCAATATGTAATGTGCTTTTGTAACTTCTCTTTTTGATCATCAATAAACAATAACCATGCTGACAACTGGGGAAAGGCAGGGGGCGGTGGGGTGAGGAAATGGGGCACACTAAGGCTACATCTATATTTGAGCTAGAGATGTGATTCCCAGGTCACACAGACATGCTCGCAGTAGCTCTCTTCGAGCTAAAAATAGTAGTGAAGCTGCACTTAGATGGGCAGCGGCAACCTGGGCTAGCCACCCCAGGTATGTACCCACAGGGTCCAGATGGGTTTGTACTCAGGATGGCTAACTCATGCTGCTGCTTGTGCTACCATAGTTACCCTACTACTTTTAGTGTGCTAGCTTGAAGAGACCGAGAGCAAGTATGTCTACGCGAGCTGGGAATCACACCCCCAGCCAGCTTCTAAGATAATGTGGTGAGTGAATGTTAAAGGGTCTCATAGGGAACAGAAGCAAGCATGCATAAAAGCAATCAGCAAAGCCTTTCTGTAGCCCTACCCCCTACACCTACACACATACACACACGGATGGAACGGCAACTGCAAAATTCACATCTCTCCCAGAGTTTACAGGGATTTAGATCCAAGGCTTTTGTTCAAGAAGGTCTCTACTATACCAGGGGTTACTTTTCTAAAGCTGGCTACTGATGTATTTTTATATTACCCCTTGGGGGAAGCAGCTATGACTTTAGAGCCCAGTCCTCCACTGAGATAAGTGAGCACACTTTTATTGACATCAATGGAGCTGCATTCATATACTCCAGCTGAGAATCTGGTCCTTAGAGTGAAATGTATTCGAAACATTGACCTAGAACTTGCATGGTTATTAACAGCAAATGAATGATTGTATGATACTCCCTTTAAAAGATTATTGAACGTGCTCGACAATAAAACAAGGGGAGCCCCCCAGTGAAGAAATCACTTTACTAGTAAAACAACCCATTTTCTGTTGATTAAATGTGAAGCAGCTCAGTCTTGGTAACACTTCATAACCTGCTGCGTCAAGACAAAGTGCTGACTTACAATACTAATAACTTACTCAAGTCACTCATGATGTTAATAATTGTTAATAACTAGTTTTGTTGGAGGATTTACCACCTTTAGTTTTGCCTTAGTCCAATGCCTAACAAATTCACTGTAAGCTGCTGGGCATAATCATTGCTGATTACTGCTTAAATAGCAGTAATAGACAAAAAAGCATTCTCCACTAGTACTTATCCCAAAGCATGTGCAGAGTGTGAAGGGGAAGACATGTAAAAGGAGGTATTCTTCGGACTGTAGAATGAAGAAAGGGATGAGGAATGACCGTTTGTGGTGAAGGCACTGCACTGGGACATTGGGGGATCAGATCCTGGTTCTGCCACAGATTTTTTTTTTCTGATCCTTAGTTCTCCATCTCTAAAAAGGGAATATTAACACTTCTTTTATCACATTCTGGGTCAGTCTTTGTTTATGCAGATTTTAAGCTCTTCAGGACAGGGACTGTTTCTCACTGTGAGTATGCACAGTCCCTAGCACAAAAGGGCCCCAATCTCAGTGGGATCTCTGGACACTCCTTTCCCTAAAATTACCAAAAATATGCAGTAGTTCATTTTCAGTCTAATGAAACGTTACAAACATTAGACCTTTGTGTAACTCGTGGGGCAGAGCTAAAATTGCTTTGGGAACTTTAATTCTGGCTTTCCTAGCTTACAAGAAATTTAAAATCTCAACCTTAATATTTCATTAGCTCCCCGCCCCCTGCTTTTTTTGAGGACAGCTTAATATTAGCATGCACTTGAAGAGACAACGAAATTCAATTTTAGATGTAAAAGTACTCCACCTAGTTTTGATAATTGGGCATTCCCTCATTCTCATAAAAACATAATGTAACTGATGTGCTTTAAACTATGGGAAAATTCAAGTGAAGATTTACACAATCTGACTAAACTGTATATGTTACAGACTGAAATGTACCAGCCCTGAAGAAAATAAAACATCCACCTCATAACACAAACAGCAGTTTAGTGTGATTTTATTTTCCCTAGTTAGGGCTTACCAGCAACATTGCTATCTTAAACTTGGAGCCCTAAAATTCAATTTAGCACAATTTTTTCCTACGTGTTGACTCACAGTTTATTTCGTTAGCCTGTCTCGGTCTCTCTTCAGACATGGCATTGATCTATGTTGCAAAAATGTCATTGCTAAGAGCCTTATAAATCTTGTGTAATAGCAAAATATGTCCTTTGATCATCAAGTCAATTTCCCTCGATAGGAAAAACCAAGGTAATCACTGTTATGTTGCACAATCCTTTCTCCAGTGTTTCTGAACCATGTGTGCTGATGGGCGTACAGACCATTGACCAAAGGGTGCGTTCTCCTTCATGAGCCAGACAAGGTTATTTACTCCCTGCCCCTTGCATCATTCATCTTAGATATTGGGACAATTCTTTTCTTGAGAGAAAAAACAAATTGCTGCCTTCTTACTCTTCTCCTTCCCTTTTAGAGCATCTTGTCTTAGCTATCGGTTCTATTTTAATTGCCGTTTGAACTTTCTTGTTCTACATCTAAATGATCTGCCCTTCCCAAATGATTTCATCAGAGACGAACTCTAGCTTTCTGTCCCAGATAAAGTCTACATATTCACCAATTGATTCACCAGGAACTTGAATATGTACCAAAAGGGTTTTTGACAGCATCCATGGCTGGCAGTTGTGGTGAATAAACTGAAGGAAAAAGTTAGATTTAAATGTGTCTTTTAATCTGGAGTAACCTTCCACCCACTTCAGAATAGCCAAAACCTAGGCTGCTGTGGCCAAGATTTTTTAAAATAATTTTAAATTCGATTCTAGTCTCTTAAAGCACAGGAAGGTTGGAACAAGTAAGTGGTTATGGTTCTTAGGGTTATCTCTTCAACATTCCTGATAAGGACTTTGGAGCAATCAGAGGAGAGCTGACCCTAAGAGAATTCAGCCCAGGCCAATGCATGGCAGGATAGGACTTTGGAAGTTAAGTCAGTGGTCGCTTCAAACACTAAGAAGCAGAGGGAATCCCCACCACCTGGCCCCATTCTTCTCAAGTGACTGGGAACCCTAGATAACTCTGTGGATATAAAGTCTGTTGGACCCTAAGCCCCTTATCAGCCCGGACCCAGATCCACAAGCAGTGAAATTTCTGAGAATAATCTGCTACCGTTTGGAGAGGTTTTGGAGCTTCCTAGAAAATTTCCTTGAAACCAGTAAAAGTACTGTGAAGTAAGATTTTCACAAGTGCCTAACAGAGTTTCATTGGAAATTGGATGTCTAACTTACTTCGTCTCTTTTAAAAATCCCGCCCATGATACTTACAGGACCTGATTTTCAGAGATAACGAGCACCCATAACCCCAGAAGGAGTTGTGGGTGCTCAACATTTCTCAGGATCAGGCTCTTACATAGCACTTAAAAGTACCTTATGAACTTTTATTATTGATTATCCACAATGTATATACGCTGAGTAATTTTAAAATACATTTGGGCCTTATTCCACACAAAGTCCCCCAAGTCTAACCAAGGGAAATGACAGCAACAGTTGGGAGTTCTGTAGTTCTGCATACTGTCAGTAAAACCGTGTGCTTTCTTTTATATTTTGCTAGGCCATTACTGGAATGGCAATTGACAATCACTTGCTAGGGCTCAGAGAGACAGCACGGGAGCACTTCAAGGAACTGCCTGAGATATTTACAGATGAAACATATTTGACAAGCAGTCGATTTATCCTCTCAACCAGTCAGGTGAGTGCTTCAAATTCATGGGTCGTCTTGTAGCAAGATTCCCTGTTACAGAACTAATTCATTCCTAATCAGTTGATGATATAGTTCACAATGAGAATGGTGGCTTTGAAATATTCTAACAGTGACACTAACCGCCATGCAAAATTCCTGATTTTCATTCCACAGTATTTTTCTCTAGTCAAAATATACATAAAAATTGGCTGAAGCCATAACTTCCCTTCTCTATGCCAAAGCTGTACCCCAACTGACAGACAAACTTTGTGAAGCCTAGTCTTGAACACAAAAACAAACAACAAAACTTGTATGAGAGCCTTGTGCTTCCTTCCCTTCCACTTTAGGTCTCCCTTCCTCCCTTCCT